AAAAAAAAAAAAAAAAAAAAAAAAAAAAAAAAAAAAAAAAAAAAAAGAGAGAGGGAGAAACCTTACAATTTTGTATTATGGATCAAACGATAAAGATTCAAAATCTTGGTAATTCGGATAATTCACGATCTCCTATCTTCTTTAATATACTACTTCTTATAAGCCAGAATAAGCACACACCAGATACTCAGATGAAGCTCAGTCAGAGGCGGAGTCAGGATTTCAAATTTATGGGTTCGGGGATTCTAATTGTTTTAAGTTACTGGGTTCCAAATTAATAATTTATACTATATTCAATGAATTTTTTAAGACAAATACATAGTTCGAACCAAAGCTACTGGGTTCGGCCGAACCTGCACGGGGAACTCTAGCTCCGCCCCTGAGCTCAGTTTAGAAAGAAAATCAACTAATTACATATGTTCGTCAACATAGTGAAGAGCTACTACATATAATCACATCTAGATATGTGAGCTAATGGCGCAAATTGTATTAATGAACACTAGTATCTAATGGGAGGAAATGAAAAAAAAAGGAGAGAGACCTCATCTTTCAACATATGGAGCAAGGTGGTTTTGCCAGCACTATCGAGGCCCAAAAACAAGATCTTAGCCTCCTGCCGTAAGCCTAGCGTTGCAAGAATTCCATAGAACTAAATCTAATCTACCAAGAACATCCTTCAGATCCGAAAGAGTCCAAGAGAAAGCCCAATATGGCAGTGGGAAAAAATAAAAAATAGCCAGATTTACAACTGGTATTTAAAAAATAGCCACAGTTTCAAAAGCAATCGAAATTTAGCCACTTTTTCATGTAAATATAAAATCTGAACAAAAACACCCCTAAAAATCCGAAAATATTCCAGCATAATATGCTGGAATTCGAATTTTTTACATATGAGCTTCCAGCATAATGTGCTGAAATTTTATAATGTGTTGGAGTTCCAACATATTATGCAGTAAATTTATATGCAGGAGCTCCATAATCCCGCATATTATGTTGAAACTTTCCATGTGCTGGAGTTCCAACATAATATGCTGGAAGATTATACATAGGAGCTCCATAATCCCGCATATTATGCTGGAACTATCTGTGTTTCAGCAAAACACTTTTATTTTTTAATAACTTTGCAAACACTGGCTATTTTTTATTACTAGTCCGAAAACTAGCTAGCTCGTGCTATTTTCACTAATATTGAATTATGAGGGAAGAGAAAAGGGCCGGGGCTATTGGGTCCTTTGGGTTCCATCCGATTTTTTCCACAATTGAGAAATATATAGTTTTAGTCCAAAAAATAATAGTGGATAAAATGCATATTTATTATATATATATATATATATATATATATACACACACACATACACACACACACACTATATTAAAAGCACGAAGCCCCTTAGCGAAATGTTGTTCGCCTTTTTTACCTTTTAAAAACTGATTTCACATTGGATAAAATTGTAATTTTAACTGTTTTCCTAATATTTAGGACTTCTAAATCAAATAAAATTTAGTTATTAAATTTTTCCTTTTTTGAACTAGGTAAGAAGTCCTAATATTTAGAACTTTAAATGAGTAATATTACTTTTCCATGTTTAGATTTTGTTGAAGTTGTAAAAGTATGTACAACGACAAATATATTACCAAGCACACTATTATCATGGATAGTGGGTGCAAAGTTTATACGTAGAATAGTGGCTAATACCTTAAAAACTTATCCCATTTTCAAAATCAACTAAAAATTTGTTATTTAGTTATTGCTTTGAACCATGTAAAAAAATTTAAACATGAATTTAAAATCAATTAATATTTTAATTTTCTAATATAAATCATTATTTATTTAGAGAAGATGTAACATAATTGTAATCTATAAATTCTAGACGTAAAATAACGGGTAATACTTTAGAGAGTTATCCTTTTTTGAAATTAATTAAAATATTATTTATTAAATCATTCCTTATTTGTACTGTGTAAGAAATCTTAATATAGGACTTTAAAATTATTTAATATTTTAATTATCTAATATAAATTAATTATTTATTTGGATAATATAACAATAACAACAACAATAACGACCCAGTAAAATCCCACTAGTGAGGTCTTGGGAGGGTAGCGTGTACGCAGACCTTACCCCTACCTCGAGGAGTAGAGAGGTTGTTTCTGAAAGACTATTTGGATAATATAACATAGTTGTAATTCTTTACATGTTACCTTTGAACTATATATATATGAACCATAATACATTTGCATATCAAATTTGGGCTACTTTTAACCCAAACAATATTTTTATATAATTTTATATAATATTTAAATATAACATTCAATAATTAAAATAAATAACAATATTTAAAAATATAAAAGATATAAAAGAGATTATAAAAAAGAGAGGCCAGAAAAGTAGTTGGCCAGAGTCAATAACATTAATTATTCTGCATACAAAGAATCAAAAGTAAAATATGATCAAATCTATTTTTTTATCCTTTTGAACATAGAATTCATAGTATAAAGTTATAATTATATTTAAATGTTTAAACTATGAGATAAAAATTTTAAGAATTTGAATCAATAAAAAATAAATTATTTTCTTTATATTGAGAATAAATAACTAAGTATCTAAATTATATAACTAACTAGTAAAAGAATCCTATTTAATTCTTTTTCAAATTTATCATACGATAAAAATAAATTTTCAAGTTGACAAACTCTTAATTAGGGTACATAAATTTATTTCCATAGAAAGAGCATTGGTAGTGAAAGCAATTAAAAAACAATTATAATATAGTATAAGGGTCAGATTGGTAAAATGCAAACTTGAAATAATAAAGATAAAATAGTAAAAGATTTGTTGTATTCTATTTGAATTGTCAAATATTTAACTTTTTCTCTTTTTTCATTTATTCCAGCAAATGAGAGGTCCATTTTTTTCATATATTAATTATTTGTTGTAAATTAATAACTAAACGTTAGTCAATTTTAGATTTTATATTGTCATGTATCAAATTTTTAAGAGCTATAAACTAAACTTCTTATTCCCAAAACTTTAAAAGATCAAAAGATTAAATTTCTTGATATATATTATTTATCAAATCTTTAAATAATAGTGGTAAAAATATATTTGTATTATTTATTTTCAGTATTAGATCATTAAATATCAACAATTTTCTTAAATATTCTCATAAAAGTCCTCAAAATCACAACAAGGCATTTGCAGAATTTAATGGGACATGATTACTTCCTTTATTGAGCTATAGCTTAATAAGATCAACTTTCATTATTTTTAGGAACTTACAATTTTATTTTTTTACTTTTATAACTCAAACACATTATTTGATACTCACTCTGGTCCACTTTAATTGATGTTTTGGCTATTTTTTTGTGGTCCACAATATTTAATTGTTTTGGGTATCAAGAAGGAATTAACATCTTTTTTCCAAAGTTGCCCTTGGAGTAAAGAGCCTGGGAATATTTGTTATATTTGCAATGAATAAATTAAGGTTAATATGGTCAACTTCATTGTTAATTAATGCTAAAAGGTGAATTTCCTTAATATGTGTGTAAACAACAAAAAAATTAATTAAAGTGGACCGGAGGGAGTAATAACTATGTGATTTTTTGAACTTATTTACTTATCAATATGGCTACACGCGCAAAGCGCATGTCCTAACCTTAGCGAAATGTTGTTCGCATTTTTTATCCTTTAAAATAGAGTTTACACTTGACAAAATCATCATTTAAATTTTCTCCTAATATTTAGGAGTTTTCAATCAACTGAAACTTTGAACTGCTATATAGGAAGTCCTAATACTTAGGATATTAAAATTAACTAATTTTTTACCTTATATAAATCAAAATATTCACTTATTCTTATATTGACGTAGACCTACAAATTACGAACATACATATACGACTTTGATAAGAATTTCAAAGTTCCAATTTGATGTGCACTTCTTTTCTAATATTTAAATATTTAAATTATTGTATATCTGTAAAACTATATATTATTTTCTCAAACAATATACTTCTATCGTTAAATATTTAATGTGTAGTCCATATTTTGATTACCTATAACTTTTAATATATTCTGACGGTATATAAGATAATTTTAAATTATAGTAAAAATAGATAGGTAGATTTGGACCTTCCTATTTTTTGACACGTAGGGTGTGTTTGGTATGAATGAAAATATTTTTCAATTTTCTCATGTTTAGTTGGCTTAAATATTTTGGAAAATATTTTCCTCGTGAACTCATTTTCCTCCAATTGGAGGAAAATATTTTCCCTATCAAGAGAAGAGAAAATATTTTCCAAAATTCTTTTTCAACCTTGTCACAAAGTTAAGGTCAAGCCACGCGAACATGCACTTGAGTTTGGGATTATGTGTCGCAGTTGTGCCACGGAAACCGTACCCACAACCATTACATTTATTTATTAATTAAAATGCGCCTAAAGCAACTAGCGATTATATGTCATTATCTCTTACAAATCCGAGACAATTATTTTGTTTGTTTTTCACTCTTTTGTTTTTTTGGAACGAGTCTTGAAGTGATTCGCGACTTGCCTCACTCCCCCTCACAATTGTTATTTCCACTCTTTTATTCCTTTTATGCAATGGACCTTGGATATACCGCAAGCCCATATCTCCTACTCGCAATACTTTTTCAGTGGGCTTAAACTTCCATTTGAGCCCAAACCAACTCAGCAACGCATCACAGCCACAACCCAATACTTAAATGAAATGGTCCACAAGACTTAGCTGCTAAGGTCAAGTTCAAGATCTACCAAATCTCTACCATCATAGCCATAGAGTATGAAATATGAACGAGAAATAACAACGCAAGGAATCAGACCAAACTCAAGTTGATCACATACATAGAGATACTCACTAACATTGTTATTCCATTCAAATAGGCATCATAAAACTCTAAAATTTAGATATCAATCAAGAATAAGATAAAGAATGAACCCTTACATGAATTTGAGCTTTGATTTAGCAACTTGAAACTCAAAACAACAGCAGGACACGCAAACTGGAGAGCCTCAACATCGACCTCGCTAACTCGACCGAAACTTGCGTGTTTTAATGGGTAAGGGATGCTGCATTTTGGCAGTAGCTTTGGGAGCTGAAACAAGGAGGTTTTGGGGTGCTTTAAGGGTGTTTTTGGAGCTGTTCGGGGACCTTTTTTCAGCTGGTTCGGCAGCTGATTTGCGGCTGTTTTCAGCTGCGTTTTTGGCCTGCTTTTTGCTGCACTTTTGGAGTGGTTAATGGCTGAAACACTGGAGCTTCAAGGCTGGTTTTCAATGGATGTTTGGGGGTGTTCTTGGGTGGTTTCGGGGCTGATTTCAGGTGAGTTTACAGCTGGTTTGTGTCGGTTTAAGGTGGAGGAAGAAAGCTGTAAAAAGGGACAATTTTCGTGCTCCTGAAGCAGCTACTGCTGTTGCGTTTTTGCTGCTAGAAATTGGTGTTTTGGGTGACGTTTTGCTGAGATTTTTGGCTGCAATTTTGGACTGTTTTTTCACATTGGATTTAGGTCGTTTCCATGGGAGTTTTGGGGTGAAGACGATGAGGAATTGATGAGAAAGCAGGGGAAACTCTCAGCTGCTCTTTTGTGTTTTAGCTCTAGGCTTTTTCTAATGTCTCTCTATCCGTCCCCTCCCAGATCCGTTTTCCCCCCTCTTTATCGCTCTCTCCCTATCTGTTTTCTCCCCTCAAAATCAGCCATGTGAGGCAGCCAAAAACCACCACAAAACAGCCCATAAATCAGATTGAAATCCGCTTTAAAAATAGTCCAGACGCCATCCTTGACTTCAAGTGGATTATACAATATTTCCGTTTTACAGAAGATGCCAAATTCAAAATTAAAGGATTTGCCTAACTAAAACCAATCATTGCACGAATAGGCATACTCAAACGCTTCCCTTAGATTTCGAATCCGTTCAAGCACTAAATAAACTCATGACTTGATATTGATATTTTCAATTTCCATTTAAACTGAGGATTTCAATTTCGGAACCTATTTCAAATGAACGAACACGTCCAGATATCAAAACACTTGAGCAATAAACCAATGGTATCACAAATGAAGCTCTAACAGTGATTATCAACAAATGACTTTTGTACACAGATTTATTCTAACTCTACGCACCAAAATAGTTCAACATTAATTCAAACTTGCAATTAACAGTGATGAATTTTTCCAGAGGTATAAAGGAACAATTATTGCGAATTTCAATACAATATAGCATCTAAACAACAATTACAGCATTTTGGATCGAAATTCATACCTGAACCGCAAATAAAAATCGAAAGCCAAAACAAAGGCTGAAAAACAGATGTAATGTTGAAGCTCAGCTACTGGACAACATCGTAATCAGCGGCGAGATCAGCTCCCAATCCAAGCTTCAACAGCTTTATAACCCAGAAGAAAAAGGATTTGAACTTTAAACTTCCAGGAGTTAATTCGTCTCCAAATCCTTTCCGAAATCCTTATTTTAATTAGCTTTTCAGAGATTGCTTTTGGAACTTTCAGATTGCAGAATTTATCCTCCGCTATCTCGTGTGTGCTTTTTGAGAATTTCAGATTGTGAATTGCGTGTGTATCCAGATGATAGTGAGGTGAGAATGAGCGTGTGCGGGGAAGTGCACAATTAGGAGATGTCTATTTAATCTTTAACCGAGCTTAATAAATTTTTATAAGTAGGGACGAAAATATTCTTACGCTAAATATAAGGCCATGGTGTCATAAACTTCATGAATAATGTATAAATATTAAGGATAAAGTATTCTATATTTACATATTCCGTTGTTAAACTTTAGGATATCATGATTTTAACTTCATATGTGCACACTGCAGTGTAAATATTAAAGACATGGCGTCCTTAACTTCACGTGTGTAAATGTTAAGGACATAATGTCCTTAACTTATATTTGCACCTTCTATTGTTAAATTTTAGTACATCATGTCATTAACTTCATATGTGCAATGTAAATGTTAAGGACATGGTGTCCTTAAATTCACGCGTGCAATGTAAATATTAGTGTACTTAACTTTATAAGTGTTGTGTAAATATTAAGGACATGGTGTCTTTAACTTCATGAATATTGTGTAAATATTAAGGACAAAGTGTCTTGTATTTACACTTTCCGTTGTTAAATTTTAGGACATCATATCCTTAACTTCATATGTGCAGTGTAAATGTTAAGGACATAATGTTCTTAACTTGTATTTGCACCTTCTATTGTTAAATTTTAGGACCCCATATCCTTAACTTCATATGTGCAGTATAAATATTAAGGACATGGTGTCCTTAACTTCATGTGTACAATGTAAATGTTAAGGACATAGTGTCCTTAACTTTATGAGTGTTGTGTAAATATTAAGGACATGATGTCCTTAACTTCATGAATGTTGTGTAAATATTAAGGACAAAGTGTCATGTATTTGCAACTTTAGTTGTTAAATTTTAGGACATCATGTCATTAACTTCATATGTGTAGTGTAAATGTTAAGGACATGGCGTCCTTAACTTCATGTGTGCAGTGTAAATGTTAAGGACACCATGTCCTTAATATTTACACAACAATCATGAAGAAAGAGTAACAATGTCTTTTTGTATTAATTTTAACAGAGTAGTAGCTATTTTTGCTCAAGCATTAAAAAAACTGGATAAAAACTAAATATCATGTTAAAAATGGCTATCTCACGCCATTTCTACGATAATTAGGGGAAATTTGGGGCGGGCTTGTGGAGTAACTGGGCTGGTTTTGGCCCAGTTCAGAAATGTGAAACCATAGCCCTTTTTTTCTTTTTTATCAGATTTTACAAAATTAGCCACTTTAGACTCAAATTCTAATTAAATCCAACTTTTGTATAGCTAACTTATTTATCTATTTTGCCTAATGATTGCCTAATTAACTAATTTACTAATTAATTAAACCTAAGAATGCAAAACAAAGGCAAAAGCAACTAATGCATCTTTTGTGATTTTTAGATTTTAACTATGCATTTAAGGGATGATGAAATCTTAAAAATGCAATTAAAATCCTAGAATGCCATGGAATGAAAGATAAAATATTTGTGATGATTTTTTGTGATTTTAAAGACGCTTTTAATGATGCAAAATGACTTACTCGATGCAATCAAATAAACAAACAAAATTCCTAAAATTCTACAAAAGTGATTTAAAACTATTTTGAATATTTTTTNACTCACCCCCTACCCTACCCCCGAACCCCACCCTAAATATAAAAAAATTATTAAGAATACTTTCTTTTCATGTTATAGAATAAGTATTTTCCTTTTCATTTCAACAAAATGTGTAGTTTTTTCGTGATATAAAAAAAATATTTTCTTTCATTCAATAAAAAAAAATTCTTTTTATGATGTAGAAAAAATAATTTTATTGCAACGAAATGATATAGTAAAAATTATTCTCTTTCATTTCAACAAAATAAGTATTTTCTTTTAATGATGTAAACAAGTATTTTTTTCATTTTAACAAAATGATTGTAGAAAAAGTATTTTCTTTTTCAACCAAAAAAGAGTATTTTCTTTTTAGTTATGGAGCACAAATTTCAACGTTATTTTTGCGTGGAAAAGTAAAGCAGCATATTAGTTCTTTTGAGTTTGTGTGAATTTTTAAAATAATAATTAAATTCTTAAAGAAAGTAAAGTCCTGAAAACGTTGGATATCTGGGGTGGGAAGGGGGTGGGGGCACAAGAAACATAGGGATTTGGGGGAAAAGGGGGTGAAGCATAAAAATTATTTTCCTAAAATATATTTCCTACTCTCTAATCAAACAATACAAAAAAAAAAATCGTAAATTTGTTTTAACTCACCATTCAAACAAGAAAAAATAAGTGACAAAACTATTAATTTTTCTGAAGAATATATTCCAAGAAAATATTTTACTTCGTACCAAACATACTCGTATAGTCCATCCATTTTATGATGGAACTCAATTAATGGTAAGTACAAATATGAAAAGGTTTTGTCAATGGCAATAATATGAATATACCCATAGAATAACATATGATAAAATTGAAAATTTTTAGATAGTAGATGGACAAATTAAAATATTTTCCGTTTATTAAAAAGGAAAAAATATTTCAGCACATGAGCACAAGTGATAACGGAAGTACAATTTCACCTTTTTCTTATATCACATACATACGAAATTGCTTATACTTTTACTAGTAAATTAATTAAGTCACAATTAGTTTTCACATTTGGAAAACCATTTACATGTAATATACCCTCTAATATTATATCAACCACTTGCTTTGACTTGTAAGAAACTGTAATTCACCCATAACTCTAACAGTTCGATATTCAATAAGTAGCATTTTCGTTTTGAATGACAAAGGCTTGTTTTTTTAATTTTTTATTCAAAGTACTTCCCCATCTTACCTTTCCCCAAGCCGCAAAAGAGAGAGTTTGTTCTAATCAAGCGAACATAAAAGAACAGAAACCAGAACTAGAAGCTTTTAATTATGATTCACATTATTATGATTTAGATTCTAGGTAGATAACTAAAATGAAGTTGTAAATAGATAATTTAAATACAAAAAAGAAACAGCTTGATGCCCCAAGCTCTCACTACGATTGAATTTGGTGAAAGAGCCGAATTGGACTCATTACATGTAACCTTACTTTGTATTTGGCAAAATCTGTTTTCATAGCTTGAACGTCCTAATCACTCGATGATAATCTTACCCTTGCACCAAGAATTACTTTAAAATATTGAAAGGCAGTGATAGAAAAAAGTAAAGGAAAACAGACTGACTGACAACAACCCAGTCTAATTCCATAAGTGGAGTCTGGGGAGGGTAGGATGTACGCAGCATTGCCCTTACCCTGAAAGGGCAGAGAGATTGTTTCTGATAGACTCTCGGCTAAATAAAAGATGGAAGAAGCACCGATAGCAAGTAATAGCAAGATAATACATTTAGAAAGCTAAAACCAAGATAGCACTAGAGACTATGAAAGAAGTACTGATATCAAGTAACAACAATACAAGGTATGCAATAATAACAAACTAAGAGAGTACCGGTGGCAAGTAATAACATTACTACAAGATATGTAATAATAGCAAACTAAGGAAAAAGGGGTATCATACTAACAATAATACTACTGAACTAATGAAGACAAAGAGAAGCGCTCGGCTACCCACTAACCTTCTACCCTAATTTTCTACCTTCACACCTCATATCAAGGGTCATGTCCTCGGTCAGCTCAAGTTGCGCCATGTCCCGCCTGATCACCTCTCCCCAAGACTTCTTTGGCCTAACTCTACCCTTCCTTTTACCCCTCCCCCCCCCTCCCCCCAAGGCTTACCTCTTACATCTCCTGACTGGAGCATCTGTGCTTCTCCTTTTAATATGCCCCGACCATCTCAGCCTCGCCTCTCGCATCTTTTCCTCCATAGGGGCCACTCTCACCTTATCCCGAATAACTTCATTCCTAATTCTATCTAACTTAATATGCCTACACATCCATCTCAACATCCTCATTTCAGCTACTTTCATCTGCTAGACATGAGAGTTCTTGATTGCCCAACACTCTGCCCCATACAACATAGTCGGTCTAACCACTACCTTGTAGAACTTACCTTTAAGTCTCAACGATACATTCTTATCGCACAAGACACCGGAAGCAAGCCTCCATTTCATCTACTCCAATACGATGTATGACATCCACATCAATCTCCCCTTCATTCTGAATTATAGACCCATGGTACTCGAAACTCTCTCTCCTGGAAATGACTTGCGCATCAAGCCTCACATCTCCGTCCGCTTCCTGGGTAACACCGATGAACTTGCACTCCAAGTATTCTGTCTTTATCCTGCTCAACTTGAAATCCTTAAACTCAAGAGTATGTCTCCAGACCTTCAATCTCTTGTTAACACCACCTCGCGTCTCATCAATCAGGACTACGTCATCTGCAAATAACATGCACCAAGGCATCCCCCTTGAATGTGTCGCATCAATGGGTCCATTGCCAAGGAAAACAAAAACGGGCTAGGTGTTGATCCCTGATGCAATCCCATCTCAATCGAGAAGTATTCAGAGTCTCCTCTTACTGTTCTACTACGTGTTTTAGTTCCATCATATAAGTCTCAGATCACTCTAATACACACTACAGACAGACATATGGATAATATACTATGATATCCACATAGTAACTTACCCTTATAAGTTATAACTATGATATCATACTTTTTTCTCTATCATGTTAACTTATATTTATTATTTTACAATTGTTAGAATACTGTAACTTATATAAGTAATTATTTATATTTAGAGAAATGGTTAGACAAAGTGATATCTCAGTCCCTAACAAATGAAGAAAAAAATGCTGGAATAATAACACATTGCAGCTCTTTTCCATGTCTCGCTAAAGGAAAGAAGAAAAAGATAAAAATAAAGTGTAGGATTTATGTCAGAAAAGTTCAAAAAGGCTTACATATATAGCCAATAATAACTCTTTCAGTCCTGTGATGGGAAAGGGAAAGCCCAACCTTTCCATCACCTACAGCCTTTCACAAAGACTGACACCAATAATAGCACATAAATGGCCATTTTGCAATGCTAGTCAAGACCATCACAGAGATCATTGACTGGAAGGTACCTTTGACCAGTCCTTTTGCCATGCCCTACACATGTTTGCTCAGAACTTTTTAGTCAGTCTTTCCCAGTGCTCTATTTTTCTCTCACATTTCTGAAATGTGTAGAAAATAACACTAACTTGTGTACAAAAACGAGTAAGCACAGTAGCTCTTGGGACACAGTTCATCTTAATTAGTATATTTATTCATCTCTTTTGCAATTTGTAGTGCTAACTCATAATGTTAGATCAATTCTAAAAAATACATACTACATAATACCTAATTTGACAAAAAAATTATAAATTCATGTACCCCTAACATGGTGGCTTCACCTATCAATTTGTTTGTATACATTTTGAATATCCTACTGGATATATACTATCTCCCACACTCTTTAATAGTGAACCAAATTTAAATTATTTTTTTAACAAAAAAAAAGTAACTATCATGCAAAATTAGAGATTGTGAGGAGTTCAATTTAACCAAAGGGAAGTGTACAAAAGAAATGGCTTAAATTCCATTCAATAAATTAATAATGTTACAATCGGCCCTTCAACCTGGAATTATATGAGAGGATATATAGTATGAAACGACAAGCATAATTCAGGTGAAATACTATCCACAAGATTAGCAAAGATACAATAATAACAATAGCAAGTGAGGTATGAGAAGAGTAGTGCGTACGCAGACCTAACAACTACCTTGAAAAAAAGAAGATTATTTCCGATAGACCCAGAAAGAAGATTAGCAAAGATACATGATGACAATAATCAAATATTCATCAGCATTGTACAATCAATTGGAATTTAATAATTATAGTCTTTCCAATTATACCTTTTAATATTTTTCTAAAGTACCTTTTTAGCAAATGAGTAAGAAGAATGAGAATATAGCTACATAATTTAGGGAGCTGATTGGTTCTTGTTACCAGCCAAAGCAAGGATGGAATTAGCAAGTTTATTGATAGAATCCACAAGTCCATTGATGCCTTCTCTATTGATCTCAGCTTTTGACTCCTCAATTTTCAGCCTTCTCTCATGTAAGCTTAAGAGTTCTCTGTGCCTTTTCTCTTCTCTCTCTTCACAAGACTGAATGGCTTCTGCTATAATGACAGCACTCTTTGAGATAGCAGAGCCAACTTCTTGTGATGAGTTGTTAATGTTACCTTTTGCTGTGCCACTGCTGGTTCCTTCACCACTCATTCTTCTTTTCTTTGCTGGTGAATCTGAATGCAGATCACTTGTATCAGGATCTGAGCAATCACACGTCTCCAACATATAAACATATCATAAACGAAACTCCATTAATATAATATACTATAGTATATATTGGATAAATGAAATGTCACTATAAGAATCTTGAGTGATTGAAATAGTCAAAACTGTCAATGTCTTACTCGATTGATGTGTTAGATTGAAATAAATGCTAATATAAGATTCATTTACAGCAAGCATTAAAACGTCCCTATCCCCCTCTCTTACCAAAAGGGAAACATACAGGGAGAGAGAGAAGAAAAAAAAGATAAAAAATTTAAAGAGGCATTCAACAATGGTTTTATAGGCAGTGCAAGAACAGTTGAAGTGGATGAAATTAATCTTGAAAACTCGATTGAATAATAAGCTACTCTATATTTCAAGAAAGCAAACAAATAACTTGTCTTTGGAAAGTGCTAAGAAATATTGCTCAATAGCATGAAAATATGTTGTTAAAGTATAGGAAGAAGGATACAAAAATGTCCAAACAATTATGGGAAAACCTCAAGCAAATTAAAATCAAGATTCAAAATGCAACATAGAGGGTGTTTGGATTGGCTTAAAAACTGGTCAAATCAGCTTAAAAGCACTTTTTAGTTTGATTTGGTATTTTGCAAACACCAAAAGTTCTTAAAAGCATTTGACTTTTAAGCCAAAATAAGTCAAACGTAATAAGGTGGGCATCCAACTTATTATCCTAACAACTTTTTTTGTTTGACCAAATAATTTACTCTTTTGTCCCTTATACTTTATATAATACTGCTTTCTTCTTTCCTCCGCCTTTAATCCATATATGTCATCTCTATCTTTCTTCTTTATATTTCATCACTACGATTTCTTATGATATTGCTTATGATTTCTTGTGCCTTATGAAGACGTTCATAATGTGTCTCCGTTAAACCTGGAACATGTTGTCAAATTTCTATCACGTAAATTATTATTTAATTTCTTTGCATCGAGTCGTCGATTATTATTTCTACGAAGGCACTCCGCCGATTCATTTTTGTTTCCATCTTGGTTATTATCAAGGAGAGATGCTTTTTAGTAAGAAATCGGCGTAATGCCATCTTACTTTTTACTTACAAAATTCAATCAAATTGTTAATTATTACTATATGTTATTTTGATAAATAATTTTTATTTATTAAATTGAGTAGACACATAAATTAACTGTATTTAAATCAATATAAAATTAAATTTTTTGTTTTGGGTTAATTGTTCGAATGCCCATTTAAGTCATTTTAACAGAAAATGTATTTATAAGACTTTTTTTATAAACAAGTAATGCTTATTCTTAAAATTGGCTCCACTACTTAAAAGCCATGCTTTAAAAGCTAAGTACTTTTTTTCGGCTAATCCAAACGGGAGAGCAAAAGAACTTTCTCTCAACCAAAGTCAAATAATACAGGTTACTACTTTGCCAAAGTGAATTTTACATCCAAGTCATGGGGTTCAGAAACAGTAAAGCAAATGAGAGTGGACTTTAAGTAGTAGTACTAGCTAGTTAAATAGCGAGCATTTACAATGTTTTGTACTAATGAATAAAAAAAGTTGGAGATAAGAGTACCTACTGTGGGAAAAGGATATTGACCAGTGTAAGCAACATCAGATAGTTGATGAGCTGCTGTTTGTGCTACTACTGCTGTTGTTGGTGGTGGTAATGGTGGTGGAGGAAGTGGCAAAGCTGTAATTTGAGGTTGAGTAGATTGTTGTTGCAATGTAGGAAGCAAAGAAGCAGGCAACATTTTTTGGCCTTTTCTGTCCACAACTTCAACTAATGCCTCATAAATCTCAGGCAACATATTAGTAGGCAGGCTTTTTTCTTTTCTTTCATTCTTCTCAATCTTCCAATAAGATGTTATTTCTTCTCCAACTTCAGCTGCTTTCTTAGCCTCTCTTCTTTCATATTCCCTAACTTTCTTGAAATCTCTCATGAGATTATCCCATTTGTCATTACACTGATTTTGGCTCCTCAAACAAGAATTTCTCCAACAATAGTCCTCTACCCATTTCCATCTTAGCTCTGTTGGTTTTCCCCTTTCATTAATATCCCCTTGCCTTCTGTTTCTCCTTTCATCGTCCATTTTTTTCGCTTCTATAAGTACCATAGTTTCTTGTACTGTCCAATTCCCTTTCCTATAGTCCCTCAACATGCTACTCCCGCCTTGATCACCTACCAAGATGTTATCCATGCAAAATAACAGCAAAAAGAAATCAAGTTTAATTTAGGCAAAAATAATTGAAAAGGGTATTTTTGTGTAGCTTGTTTTTGCAGTATATTTGACAAGAGGTATGGTATTTGGGGTATATGATATGATAATGGTTTATGTATGGTTTTGAAATTTGGGAATGGAAATGATACGAAGTAGTGAAGAGCAATCTCTTTCTTCTTTTCTTACTTCATATTTAACTATCTTTATTATAGCTATCTTCCTCTAGCTCCAAATCTTCAAAAAACTTAAATTGAAAATTAGTATAAGTTTCAAACCCAAGAGGCCAAGACTAAGTAATTCAAGCAATTATATATGCCCATAAAGTTGCATAAGGATATGAGAAAATAGGTGATAGAGGGGGGTTAATCTAAGAGATTGGGAGGGGCTTGGAAGGAGAGACTAATTAATGGAGAAAGAGAGAGGANGGGAGGGACTGTGGAGTGGGGTATAGGGGGTTCCGTGTGGTCTGCGTGGGTCGGGGGTGGGGACTAGGAAGAAGGATTCAGGGGCTAACTAGTCATTTGCTGCATGTAATTTGATGAGCATAAAGACATACGTCACACGTGGTTAAGCCAACAACTAGCCATAATAACACCAGGAATTCTTTGCAGATTTTCGATGGGAGTAATTCATAATTCATAAAAAGGAAAAAAAGGCTAAAAGTACTCATTCGTTTCATTTTATGCAAAAGCGGATCCAGAATTTTAAAAAAATAAATGTATTATTATAAAGAGTTGAATTTTTTATTTAAATTTAATAGGTATATAAAAATTTACAATGACCAAACGAGAATAGGATAGGGATTTCAATGTGTTGATATGAGAATTTTAAATGAACAAACAAAATAAAATAATAATAATAAAATACAAGAGGAACTAGACATGCCCACAAACTTGAGTTTGAAACCGTGAGCTCAATTATATATAAATATATAAAAAAAGGAAAAAATAACAAGATAGACACGGAATTTGAACCCTCAATTTTACTTGTAAAGGTGCATTCAACAATCATTGTCCCGTAGGACTCTTTAAACCTACACACATAGTTCATATGCCTCATGCTCCTCCACATAGATGCACCATTAATTTCATGGAACACTATTACTAATTGGAAGGCTAGAATGTTTTTTTGTTTGACTATCATTTTTCAAGTACTATATTTTAAATTATTAATTATTGAAATATATTATTTTTAAATATATTAATTTTATTTCAAAAAATTAAAATATTGTCTAAATACACATCAAAATTTATGTAATTTGAATTTTATACGCGAACATGCCGCATAAAGTGAAATAAAGAAAGTATTATTCATTAAAAGGTTAAATGTGTGAGTAATTTCGTAGTCTATATGTTGGGAAAATAAAACGTAAATCGAAGTTTCGAAATCTTTGTTCTTAGTTATATCACTCTGTATGGTTGGAAATATACTCTAGAGTCAATTGCAAGAGAAATGATAGGGACATTTTTCTAATTAACAATCATGATATTATAAATTGAAACAAGCTCTCAATCCAATTACAAAAGATATAGGATAGGTATATTTTGCAAACAATCATATTTGTAGTTTTATGAATATCAACAAATGCATCCTTCATCCCATAATGTGCCATGTATTTCTATAATTCCTTATTGGATCAACCCAGTGGATCATGGCAGAGGCGGCCCAAAAGATCCTGGAGGCCCGTAAAAGCCCATTGGGCCCCTAAAACAGTCTTGCAGTAACCAGCAACAGCAGAAGAAGCTCAGGCTGTACAATTTTAAACATGCAAAACATTTAGTTAAGTTCAATAACAATAAGCTTAACCATCAATAATTTGATGGTGAGTAATATTTAAACATTCAAGAAACACAAGCTTATAGAAAAACACCCAAATAAAAACAAAGCAAAACCAAACTGTTTTCTAGTCCAAAGATTTTATTTATTTTTTCTCCTCAAAGATTCAAAAAATATTCGGAAAAACATCTAAAATTTTGAAATATAGAAGAAAACTATTGGTTCCAAAATGACTTACCAAGAACCTATAAAATCACATAAACCACCAAAGAAGCCGCAAGGTCCTGGCATTGGGGGTCCTCCGAGACCTAGAGGAGGACCCCATCCAGGCCCCGATCCGGGTCCTGGTCCTGGCCCTGTCCCCGGTCCTCCTGGTCTCATAATTTCACTTAGGCTAGATTAACCAAACCTAACCAAATCCCTTATACTAACAATCACAATGTTGGAACAGCTTTAGTTTACTTTCAATCTTGAGTTGGAACAATATATATAGGTATTAAGTTACTAAATATATACTGCTCTCATCTACCATTCTCTATTCTACTAGTCAAAAGGTAAAGCTTGACCTAATCTTCCTTTCTTCTAAGTGTGCACACTTCTAGTGCATGCAAGTATCTTAACCTGAATAAGGTTTTGCTTTTATTATTATAGAGAAGATTATGTAAACACGCGAGACTAGCAAGTAAAAGAGTGTTCAGAAGTTTTCAACAAAAATGTCGTATTGACTAATCAGCCACACACCAAAGAGAGAGTGTGAAGTCGACTTGTTTACGCATGAACAACAATTCTACTAGTATTGTTTTTTTTCATGTTTCTTTTAGCATCCTATATAAAATTCTTTAACAAAAAGAATGGTGAGAAACATTTTGCGTTAAATGTGAAATAACTCATATATAATTATGTGTGAACTTGACTAAGAAAGTAAGGACATTAAAATAAATAAATAAAAAGAATGTTAAAAATCCGAGGGACATGTTGGCCTTTTTTCTATTGACATTGGTGAAATCATTCTTGAACAAGAGACAATGATAGAGCTTAATTTTTTTGTTTTTCGGTATTTGATATTTGTATCACGGCCCGACTAATTTCGAATTCTCGTCGTGAAGTTTCATATTGGGGTAAAGCGTTCCCTAACAAAGACGACTTACCCAGAGCTCAATTCCGAGAATGATAGAGCTTACTAGGTGCTACTAATGTAATGTAGAGGTCTATTTCCTCGCCTCTCCCATTCATGACACTAATTAAACCAAATGTTACATTCTGTGTTCACACTTGGGTAGCAACTCTTGAATGGTTGAAACAAGTCCACTGTCGTATAACATAAGAATAAATTCACTATCATAAAAAACTAGGAAAAAAAATATTCCAAATGTGCATAATTGTATATTTATCATATATTTTTTTCTTTCTTTTTTAAAGGAAAAGGAAAGGAAATGCTACACATGATGAAGTTATCCTCCATGCCTCAATGTAAAAGACAGAGATTTTATTAAGAGCCCGTTTGGACATAAGAAATTTTTTTCTTTTTTCCCAAAAAATTTAACTTTTTTTCGAAATCAGCATTTGTTCATAAAATTTTTAATTTTCATTTGATATGCATTTTGGAAATTTTCGAAAATTTGAAAAACTCCAAAAAGTTGTTTTTCAAAATTTTCACTCAAATCTCTCACAAAACTTCAAAAACAACCCAAAATTATATTCATGTCCAAATACAACTCTAAATTTCAAATACCATTTTCAATTGAAATTTTTTTCCCCCCTATTTTAGAATTTTACAATTCTTATGTACAAACGCCCCCTAAGTGAGCTAGCTATCAACCTCGTATTTATTATGCATAATTTTGTAGTTATAGTGATTCTATCACGCTATTTAATATTTCTAACATCCTCTCACACTTTGCTCCTAAAATGATAAAAAGAAAATCATATTCTTTTCATCTCATTTTATGTGATGGTTTTGAATAATTATATACGAGATTAATATTATAATTTGATATATATATTATATTAGCAATAGCTTGAAACAAATACTAAAGTAATTCCTAACTTTTTTGAATAGAATGGAATATTGGAATGTATCGCTTATCGCCATGTAAATTCAGGAATTAGTTATTCCCACGCGTTGTTGACAAAAGCTGGAATTAGAAACCCAGTTTGTCTGAAGCTGCTCTCCACCAATGGTGTCCCTGTAAGCAATCACCACTAGTAATTAAACTTGTCAGTATTATAGTCTTCAGATTTTTATAGATCTTCATCTTCAATTCCAGGTATAGCACTGGGCTAGAATTGGGCAATCTATTGGTAGGATCAGACCTATTAAATCATTCATGGGACGCAATTTCAAAGCTTCAAAAAGACACCCTTTTGCTGGATCAGAACCCATCTCTTCCTTTCTCTGTTAAATACCAAGTTTATGAATATCCACCAGCAAAGGGTTTTATTATTGCTTTTGTATGCTCACCCAATTCTGCTGTAAATCACTTGCAAGAAGAAGATTTTAGAGAGCTGGCTCCTTCTGATGCAATTATGTCCTTTGATTTTCTCTGTACTAAAAGTAACAGTTCCGTTTCCCTTCATAAAGCTGCTTTTACCCTTTTCGCTTCTCTTGAGAATGAGCTCTCTCTTCTCAAACAGCAGGTACACTGCCTTAAATTGTTTAAGTTTCCCTTTTTCTTACATGTATATTGAGCATTAGCCTATTTGCATTCTTGAAATTTTGAATATATATTCTATGTGTTTCCGAAATGGAACAATTTGTTAGTCAATTAAAAATGTAATCTTGAGTTGATCATTTTATTTGTGATGTAGAGAATATACAGATTAAAGTTATTAAGGAATCATTTATAAGGTATGATTTTTATTCAGTTTGATTTTGTATGAGAAGGTTATGAGGAGACAATTTAATGAGATTAGAAATGATTGATAATTAGAGAACTGTAAATTACATAGGAAATAAACAAAAAATTATCTCGTGTTTTGGTCCATGGATCACGTTGAGACCAACTGTCACATACAATGACATCCCATATAATACAGCTATCAATAGAAGATAGACGGATCACTTTTTTGAGTTTATACCCATATTAGCGTGGGGCTACATGCGCCTCAGCTTGCAAATGGGATCGCTAATGTCTTCAATAGACAAGTAGCTAAAGTTTAATTATCCCTTCTTTAGTAGGGAGGACCAATAATAGTAGTAACCAAACACCAGTTATGGAGGAAAGATAATAATGATTCCCCTCCAGTTTGAATTTGCAAATGAAGTGTAAAACTATCGGCTGGATTTTCTCTTATATGTGTAACTAATTTTGGTGTTTTTGCTTTGTTTGCTTCGATGTAGTTCACCAGCCACCAGCCTCTAATTGTAACCGGACATTGTCTGGGAGGATCTGTTGCGTCTCTATTCACTTTGTGGCTGCTTGATAGCCTTCCCAGATATGGTGTGCAGCGTCTCCTCTGCATTACTTTTGGCTCTCCACTTCTTGGTAACAATGGCTTTCAAAAGGCCATATCAGAGCGTTCCGCCTGGAGTTCGTACTTCTTACACGTGGTCTCAGACAAAGATCCAATTCCAGGTTTTCTGATCTCAGACCATAATGCCTCCGCTGCTACCTTGACTACTCCGACCTGTTACATGCCATTCGGTACCTATCTCTTCTGCTCAGAATCAGGTTTCTCTTGCTTCGAGGAACCACAATCGATTCTGGAGTTGTTGATGATAATGAGCTCAAGATGTGCTGAAAGTCAAAACCCAAACAACTGCTCTCAGGTTATTGATTATGGACATATCTTGGAACATCTAAGGAGCAAAGCTATTTGCAGGGGAATCTTAGAACTGCCTGACTCAATAGGCAATCCACTTCAAGCAGGAACCTACCTATTGCTAGAAGCAGCTGGAGTTGGAAAGTTACAGGTAAATACACTAAATTGCTAATTGTTCAAATTGTGTTGTTCCACTTTGATGGATCACGAGCCTGGGTATTAACATCCTACTGAAGTACAGTATGAATTGAGGAAAGATAAAAACAGTTTTGAGTCATTCAGGTGCATATACAAGTTGTGAAGAAAGAATTCTGTTGAAGCATTGATGAAAGAATAAGGCTATGTTTGTTAGTGGGCTAGGAAGTTGTGGACATGAAATTAACTTAAGGCAAAAAAATTGCGTTTCTTGATTAAATGGGCTATAACACTCCAGAATAGTTTATTCTTTTTTTTTGTAGTCCTCATTTTTTTTTTTTTTTTGCCTCTTCCTGCAACTGCAGCAGGAAAACGTTGACATGAGCTATCTTGCAATAAATATTGCGAAAAGGACAGAGGTTCAGGCTAAACACAGGCAGAATGTTTTTGATCCCTCCAAGAAACTAAGTACACTTAAAAAGTCCATGTCTTACCTTGAATGGTACATGAAGAACTCTTTGGAAGAGGCTGGGTATTATGACAAATATAAGCTCAGACGTTCCAGAAGCAGAGATGAGATTGAAAGCACAGAACAGCTTATCAAGCATCACAGAACTTTGAAACTGTTCTGGAAAAGAATGGTAGCTGAAGTAGAAAATATGCCTTGGAAAGAGGGGAGAAGTCTCCGAAAGCGTTGGCTTTATGCAGGAACAAACTACCGAAGGATGGTTGAACCACTCGACATAGCAGAGTATTATGGTAGGGGAAAGAAAGATTATATTAGTCATGGAAGATCTGAACACTACAAATTATTGGAGGAATGGTTAACTGATGAAAATTTTCATGCATACCAGAGAACTCAAGCGTCTAGTCTTACGGTTGATTCTTGCTTTTGGGCTTATGTTGAGGAAGCTGTGATTTCTTGTGAAGTGTTGAAGGATCGACAAAGCAGCGCACAAGACCAAGAATCAGCTAGAGAAAACCTGATCAAATTTGAGCAGTATGTAATGGACATGATTAATAACTTCTTGGTGTCTCCTGAGATTTTCTTGCCTCAGAGCAGCTTCATGCGGTGGTGGAAAGAATATTGCAGACTTGTAGGAAATTCATATACTTCAACCTTGATTAATTTCATGAAGGATGAATTTCGTAGATATGTTTAGCAAATTATATCAAGCAATAACTCATATGTCCCAACTTAGAAAACTAGTTAAGTACTTTTCCTTTGGTTTTCTTTAACCTGGAACTGTATAATCAAGTTGCAAAAATGACTAATTGCAGCGCAAAGTAAAATTGTAGCCTGTAATAAAAATGATTTGGCTTTTCTCCCCTTTATTTATTAACTCTTATAGAATGATATGAGCTAACATTCACCCAACCCTTTTTATGGGTTGATTTGAGTTGTGCCCATTTTAAACTAATTAGACAGATAACACTTTTTATAGTTAAAACTCCTAACTTCAATGCTACGTATGGGCAAGATTTACCTAGTCGATTGCATTTTTGCAGATACTTAACAAGCATTTTAGAGTTCCGCCTTATAAACGAACTCATCTCTGAGTTCTTTTTTAGTGAGGGACAAAGAAATAATTCTGAAACAATCTACTTAAACATTAACACTGTCCAAAAAAAGAAATGCTCATTCAGACACGTAGTTGGAACCGCAACAGCATAATGAAGATTAAGAATAGCACCAGAAAGTTTGAAAATTTTCCAGAAAGGTGGAATGAAGCTCAAAATTGAGAAGTAATTCCATAAATGGATAATTATAGAAAGTAAATGGCTGCTAGAGCAATACATTTTACTTACAGTACATATCTCATATAACTAATTTTACAGCATCACAATTACACTCGCTGGAAAATTTTGAAGCAATTAGCTTTTGAATCAAACATCAGGACCTCTGTATTTGTTGTAGCCTAGAAATCGATAGATCTCCACCACCAAATCCATCCATTACCGCTTTAGCTCCAGGAAACTCAGCTCTGGCGGTCGAACTTTTACACATCAACAAAAAGGATATTATTATTCAAAAAATATGTCCATCAACATTTATGCTAATATAACATTTAAACAGCACATTTAGAAAGTAAATTAGCTAACATGGAATTAAGTACTATTTGTTGTTATACTTGAGCAGAATACATCGGCAGCCCCTTTAACTTGTTTTCACTTTCCACTTTAACACTTATTCTTACGGTCGTTCCATTTAAACACTCCAACCAACCCTTTAGTGTGTCATCTAGACACAAAAAGCTGATATGACAAGGTGAATGTTTCTCACATTTTTCAAGCGCGTGAAATGGTCCAAAAAACAAACTCCTCATACTTATTGCCCGAAAATAAATAGTTTTTGCCAGAAAATTTTCCACTAAACTTCTCTTTTAAATTTTCAGTGTAGGATAAAAATACTATGTACACAAAGGAGTAATTCTAAGTTATGCCAAGCTTCTGTTTCAAGATCGAAGCTTCTGCTTTAATACATAGAATTTAATGATTATCTCGTTTTTAAGATCCAAGCTTCCATTTCAAGACTTACTCAAAAACAGTCATGACTAAAAGTAGCGTTCTGGCCGAAAAATTTAGAGTTCATATATGGACAAGAACTACTCAAATCGGTCCAACTATTCTTTCTCAAAAACTATATGGGGGGATTGTATTTGATGAGAAGAAGCATGTACAATATATGAACCCTGTCGAATTGGCGTGAAATTGGAACTGGCATTTTGTCGAACATCTTGTATGCTCAACTTGCCAAATTCTCCAATTTTCAAATTCGTTGCAGCTGAGTGAATCAAACCTGAAGAAGAGGGGTTAGAAACACTCGCTCAAGGTGCAGAAACTGTTTGGCATTGGTTTTGCTGCATTTGATTGGCTTGAACACCATTTTCGGCCAAATGGAGCTCGCCGGAGCTTGGAGCTTCATCGGAGTTGCCAATTTTGAAGTTGGAATGCTCCAAATTTTAGTGGGGAGATAGATTACAACCTAGGGAAGAACCTCCGGCGCTTTATGTCCAGCCAGGTAATGATCGTGCAATTCACTCACTTCTAAATTTATTTTATGTCCAAATTAAATTTTTTTTGTTTTGTTATATTTCAGATCTACCAATGTTGAATAACTGAATGTATAAATTGGAGGTTTGTGGAAGAATTTGTTTGATTATTAAAAGGAAAGATGAAAGAATGATGAAGAAGACGCCCACGTTTTTACTGGCAGAAGAAGTTTGGGTTGGGGGGTCGGGAAGATGATGGAGGGTTCTTTTTCTTTTAACTTTTTTCTTTTTTTAAAAGTTTCCTTTTGAAGTTAAATCCACGTGTCTTTTTCTTATTGGTTATTCTGGCGTGTGAATTACAAGCATCTATCCTGTTTGGCTGCCTAAAATTTTAGTGTCTGGATGACACATTAAAGGGTTGGTTGAAGTGTTTAAATGGAACGATCTTAAGAATAAATGTAAAAGTGGAAAGTGAAAACAAGTTAAAGGGGTTGCCGATGTAGTCCACTGTTTTTCTTAAGAGTCCTTTTATTCTGGTTAGAGACTTGTATGTTCGTGTTGGATAAGGGCAAAATTTAGAGAACCTCTATTACTAGGAACCCCTAATTTCCCTTAAAAGGAAATTATTTAGTACTGATATGAAATGAACCGATAAAGAGCATAATGGTTACATATGATTTATATAGCCGATTCCTACTTATTTAGGATAGAGGTAGTTAATTGATAATCGGCTTAATGTATGCATATTTTGATATATATCGCCTCACATTTTGCTCATGTCTCAACGATTTGAGATGGTTAATGTGATTATTTGTGCTAAAGTTTGGTATTTCTATATGTAGGGATCATTCGGATGCAATTTGGGACGAACGAGCGCGAATTGAAGCGAAATCGGGACAAAAAGGCAAAAAGTGAAATTTGAGGGCCACAGCGCTGGCTGTGGCGCAATTTACAGCAGCTAAAATATTTGAGCGCCAGGGCCAGCGCCCCACGCTGCCCTGGACGCTCAAAAACGTGAACATGTCCTATTTCGGCCGGGACTCGGTTATTTCGATCCCAAGATGCCCCCAACTCATATAAAAACCAACCTAAACCTATTTTAAAAAGGAGAGGACGTTTTGGAGAGAAAAACACAAGCACAGAGCCGCCGTGGAGGCCGAAATTCATCAAGTTCCATCTTTCTCTCACCAAACTTAGTAATTTTTATGTTTCTTTGTATGATTTGTTGTTTGGCTACCATGTCTATGTGGAGCTAAACTTCACGTTCTAGGGTTGTGGTTCTTTCATGACTATTGTTATTCGGATATTGATTTTGCCTTCTTGATTTATCANCTTCTCTTTTTGTAAATATTTTATTTTTATAACTATTTGATTTTTCTCTTAGTGTGTTTCTAGTTCTTTCACCATGACATCTGGGGATGAAATATATGGAGGTAAGGTTATTGATGAAGACTCTTGATTGACGGAAGACTTATATGGCTCGTCATTTTGGGCTTGTCATGACCTGAACTCTTGGAAATCTGAATTTGAATATGGGAGTAAGGGTTGGTATTGGGACGAATATTCTCGATTAAGGGAATATGCGGAACGACGTTGTCTTCTGACAATGTTGGTGAATGATTGGTCTAAGGAGAGAAATGATCTTGCATATAAAATTGATAATTTTGGCTTGGCTTTACATAACTTGGATGCAAATTTGAATGCAAAGGTTGATACGTGTAATGGCCAACAATTTAATGATGAGTTGTGTGAAGCTGAAAAAAATCTTCTAGACCAAATTGAGGAGCTAAAACGAGAATACAAATCATTAGACCATGTTTTTCTTGAGGATGCCAATGTTGAGAAGAATGCTCTAAAGTCATATGAGGGAATAGATAACATTACTTTGGGAGACTTGAGTGTGTGTATATATGGGGATGTAAATAGTAGTACAATTCATGAGTTAGGGCGCATTAGACCTCATTCCAATCATAGCCGCAGACTGGATGCCATGTTAGGGGCTAAATTCATAAGTTCGAGGTGGAGACAAAAAGCGGTTCACGTCGTGCCGCTACATTAAATTAGGCACTTGTTGGGAGGCAACCCAACTTTACTGCTTTATTTATTTTTGTTTATTTTATTATTTTTGTAGTGTTGTTTTGTTTTGTAGGATTATGAGCATAGGAAGAAAAGTCACTGGACGCGTGCAAAAGCAAGCCAGATAGTTGGAACTAGTGTGAGGTACCCGCACAAAGGACCATCCATGGGAGAAGTCTGAGTACCCCGTAAGCTGCTATTGCTTCGGCCTTTGGTCTTTCAGGGAGTTTCTTGTCCACCCTTGTTATTTTTACTTTATTTGTGCATTGAGGACACTATGCTCTTTTAAGTGGGGGGTGAAAGATTCTCTATTCTTTCTATAGTATTATATTAGTATATTGTTAGTTTCTTATCTTTTTATTGTTAGCTAGCTTCTTATTTTTAATAGCATAGTTAGTAGAATTAATGGTGTAGTATAGTAGTAGTAGTAGTAATTAAAAAAAAGATTAAAAAAAAAACAAAAAAAAATTGAGAAAAAATTAAAATTTTGTTTTTGGACTTTTCCCAACGATGGATCTGTTGGACAATTTTCTTGAGGGATTAAAGTCCGATTAAAAATACCAAAAAGATTTCCTTTTATTTTTTTTAGGTAGTTAGGTAGTATCCCTTGGTTTTTCTTTTGACACCGGTTCTTTTCCAAGGATGTAGCTCGAACCGAAAAATTTAGTTTAGTTTTTTTTTAGGAGTAGGATAAGGGAGAAAACTGAGATTGCTCTGAGGTACCTGTTGACATGTTTGGTGTTGGCAAGTTAAGTTAGGGCATGCGCTCTGTCTTCCTGCATATATGATTTGAATTGTAATGCCCAAGTAAATTAAGTAGTCTACTCTTTGACGACTTTTTCTCAGTTAATTGACTTGTATGCCACCTAGTGCATTGTTGCTTAAAAATTCTCAACTTGATATGCTTGCTTGACTTGAGAGTCACACATAACCGTCTTGAATGAGTCAAGTGCCATGTGTGTGTAAGGATCGTTGATATTATGTGCTATCCTGTGTAGTCTAGAACTTGCCCCGTGTGTTAATCAACACGAAATTATTAAGTTGTGCTAGTCTAGGAGATGACATAGGCGTTTCTTGCTTGACCATAAAGGTGTTTGTCACTGACAAATAGAATTTTTCCATTGCTATCCCCTTTGAACCTATAGACCGTTTCCTTGGCACCCATATTACAAGCCGTACTACTACTTTGTTCTTAATGTGAGATTGTTGAACCTTTACCTCCTAAGGCACTTAGTCGCTATAAGAAGTAAGGTGAGAGATTGGGAAGTGGCTTTCGAGTGGAACCAGGGAAGGGCCCTTAAGGTGCACTAAAATTGTGAATAAATGTCACTAGCTTATGAACTTCAATGTATGGAGTGTGTAAAAAAAAAAAAATCTTTCTCTGTTCAAAGTTCATTATTTATATTTTTTTATTTAATTAGTTTAGAATAAAATATTTTTAGGTTTAATTCTTGTTTAGATAATTAGGATAGTCTAATTTAGTTAATAGTTAATCATAAGTCCTCGTGGGTTCGACATCCGACTTTTAGTCACTTTATTACTTGACGACCGCGTATACTTGCGTGTGCGTTTGGCCGCAACATTAATTGATTGATATATGCCTACCGCTAAAGATAGAGAACGTATTTCTACTGCATTCAAGATTTTGGTAATTAAATTTGTGATTGAAAAATCTACCTGCTCCGGACCACAACGCAAGGCATGCCAATTCGCTCTGCTCCAGCAACCCCAGATTGACTTCCGGCAACAAGCACGCAATAATCCACAGGTACATTGGCATATTCTGCCCCTGCCCGTAATGCAGCCACAACATTCTTCATTCTACATTAGACGAAGATAAAGTATTAGACTTGACCACATTTACCAGCCACTAAATAACCAAACTGGTGCAGACTTGCTGTGTGCCAAATTGCACTACGCACTCAATACAAATATGCATGAATTTGCAGATTTCCCCAAATGTTTCTGAATATTCTGGCTTGAACTACAAATAGCTCCAAACTCGAGCTATATGATCCAGTATGTTGCATGGACTCTTATTTTTCCTTTGATATACAGTTGTCCAAACTCCAACAGGTACGATATTGGTATATGGCTATTTCACTACAGATTCTTTTTTTTTTTTTGGATAATCGTGGTGTCCAGATCAGCTTACGCGGGATACCTGCTACCTCCCACCAGCAAAAGGTAGCGGGTAAGCAAATGATAATAATATTTAGTTGTTGCATTCAATTCCGTGTAACCCTAATGATTCAGCAGTTGTTCTTATGATTTAAAGATGCTCTTTAACAAATAGAAAGATCACCTACTAGTTTGGCCAATGTGATTTCGAAACCAACGATTTGGCATGATCCTTCAGAATACACTATAAAAACTTGCATACAACTGATCTTACATAACAACAACAACAACAACCCAGTATAATCCCACTAGTGGGGTCTGGGGAAGGTAGTGTGTACGCAGACCTTACCCTACCCTGGGGTAGAGAGGCTGTTTCCGATAGACCCTCGGCTCCCTCCCTTCAAGAATTCCCCACCTTGCTCTTGGGGTGACTCGAACACACAACCTCTTGGTTGGAAGTGGAGGGTGCTTACCACTAGAGCAACCCACTCTTGTTACAACTGATCTTACATCTATCAGATAAAAACCTTCAGCTAATATTTGTATCTTAGTCCAGTAACAAGGTCTGTAATAGCACATATGAGATCAGTAAGAAGCACATGTTTACTACGATCTACCAGAAAAAAAGGAGTTCTCTTTGCACCAGATATCTTTTTTCCTGACAACTCGGATAAAATGAGTTAATTCATAGAAAATAATTTCTTTTCTCCCTTTGGCATATCTCAAACTACCAACTAGATACATGAAATCTCCAGCTCCAAAGCATGTTGGAAAAAGCATATTGGCGCCCTCCATCAAGCATCTTCAATTTTTTTTTTTAAATTGTTGATAAGATCCCAACTATGTCAAGATTGAAGTGTAGTTGATTTATTGATTTTTGATAAGTTCCGTCAAGCATCTTCATCCAGGTAATATGATGTCATACGGTGTAAAATTGAAGATGTATCCATCAAAACAACCCAAAAAAGAAAAACCAACAATGAAGAGAATGATAGGACTAACTCTTCACTTGAAGTTGTATCAATGTCGACACTCAACTTTAGCATGGAAGCAACCTCCTTAGCAATTCTTTGCTCCTCTGCAGAAACTGGACCAAAACAATATAGAGGTATGCATTTTCTTATAGTGAGATATGGTAAAAGAGAAACAACCAGCTTATGCAATGAAATTTTACCAGATTGTCGATGCAATTTACCTGCTTTTCTTGCTTCTTTAGCCAGTTGCTCACCTAGGTCAGACGCCACTCCTTCACCAAATACAAGTTGGCCATAGAAACTTTGCTTTACCTCCTCCATTCCAAGTATTTTTATCCTTGCCATTTTATCATTTCCAAGCTTCTCAATGATGGATCTGTAGCGAATCAACCAACTGGTTACTCTTTCATTAATTGTTAGAAAGCATGCAGTAGAACACTGTTATGGAATTACTACACATGCCAACTACAGTCATTTCAATTATCTGTTACAAAACTAGCTTCACCTAGGAAAAGGTCAGATGCTAAGGTGACAGCACTTCTCAAGTTATTCCTAGTGTCTGCCAGAGGTTAGAAGTCTTTAGCAACAAATGATTCAAACGTCATTCATCTTCTACCATTCAGACGAATGCTAAATCAGTTGCATTTTCAAAAATTTACTTATTTTCCTTCTCGCTTCCCTGCCATATTTTTTAATTATTCAATGAACTAAATTCAGTTTATGCACAAAGAACATGCTATAGGTTGTTTCTTTATTGCATTCACCCAAAATTCTCTAAAGCTAATTGCTGATATTAGAGGTGTTAGCCTAAAGAAGATTAGTAAGCATAGTAGCATACTAAGAACTGACTAAATATTGAAAACTAACGCATGTTCAACAACCCAACACTTATATGATTTTGCTACTTATTTTGGAGACTTAATTATTTTCTAATATTTCATAAATTACATAAAAAAATATTTTCCGATAACCAACATTATGTAAAATTGTTTAATTTCTATAACACATTCAAGCAACAAAGTCCATAATAAGACCACATAGTTGTTATCTATAAAATTTTATCATCCAGATTCAAGAATGGAAAATTTTCTTTTGGGAAATGGTCCAAATATACCCCTTACGTTTGCGATTTGTCTTACATTTTCCCTCTGTTCACCTATCCGTACATGAAAGCCCCCGCAATATTTTTTGTCTCAAATATGCCCCTATGACTAACGATTTTCCATCGTGGAAACTTGGTCTGATTTGGCTAATACAATGGAAGCCACATAGCGGTATTATTTGGACATTTTTCTATTGCTCGGGAGTATATTTGGACTTTCTGTTGTTCAGGGGCATGCTTAAAATTACATAAGAGGGTATATAACTATATATAAACCTATTTGATACTTTAGGGATAAAACTGGATCTTTTGTCTGTCCGTATGGCTTCATCGTGACAAATGTCAGAGCCAAACTGGACAAACGTTAGTTGGAGGAGCATATTTGAGATAAAAGATAACAGTGAGAGCTTTCATGGAACGATAGTCAAGCGAAGGGCAAATGTATGACAAATTGGATACTTGGGGGTAAATATGAACATTTTCTCCCTTTTTTGTTTTAAAGGTTGTATCAGCGCCAACTTGCGAGCACCTCGACTATTCCACTGGGTATCTGCTACTTCCCACTAGCACATGTACCGGGTAGCTGTGTCCACCAAGTTTAGCCAAATGGGAAGAATCACCTAGTGTTTTTTTGTCTAGCTGGGATTTGAACCTTGGTCTCCCATTGTTTTCATCCACTAGGGGTGACTACTAGGCCACACCCTTGGGTTCTTCAAGGGAAGGAAATTTGACACTGGCAGCTTCGGAAATCCAACAATCTTAAGTGTTCAGCAAGAGCAATTTCAGTCTTTAGATGTTAGACTTCACTTTTTCAGTTTGATTCAGTCATACCTCACTTAGAGCTATGTAAAAGAACTTAGTGTTAAAATAAAACTTACAGATTCATATTTGAAATGCAAAACTGAGTTGTAATTAGCAGTAAACCTGGCTGATTTTTCCCCACATTTACAGTATGATGTCAGCATCACTACTGGGACACCTTTTTCATAAGCTTCAACAATAAATCTGCAAATTAATAGGAGAATTATTACAAGAAATATAACAAAATAAAGGAAGATCAACCTAATAAATTATAAAAATAGACCATGGCATAAAACCAACATTTACACTGGTAATCGAGGAGGTAAGCTAGATAGCTATCCTGATAACATAACGCTAAATATTCTTACCTATAACTCCTCCTTTGAAAAGTAAACTCTTATGGCATTTGAAAATGATACAACTAAATCTATGAATCAGTAATGTGATAAACTTTATTTTACTCATGAACTACATCATATTGAGGAATCGTCGAATGCATTGGCTTACAACCAGATACATACGAGGCAAGAGACACATGCTTGTATATACTAAATATCTTCTGATTTCTTAAGTTCACAATTGTTATAAATTTAATAACTGTAGATGGATTGAAACCACTTCCAATAATTCAAATGATGCTACACTCATTTTTAAATAAACTCCGTGTCCATTAAATATATGAATGGAAAAAATAAATAAAAACAGTATCTTGCATAAAGGTGGATGACTATATCTGTATATGGCATTCCTAACATTCCTAGGACATGATAAGGATGCTTAGCTAATATACCAGCATAGCTTATGGCAAATACTGTTGACCTTTGGAAATTTAAAAGCTAGCTAACAAAGATAAGAAAAGAGAAAACACATGTACACCTTAATCATGCAGTTGAAGAATTAGATACTCTTAACAGAGGCTCCAAATTCCAAAGTTTATTGAATGAGAAATGGAAAAGATGAAGGTCAAAGAATTGGTATGAGAGCTGCTTTGTCTACAGATATGGGGCTGTTCGTGGTACACATAGTATACTTGTCAGGAAAGGAGGAGGGCCCTAGGAATAACCTACTATGAGAAGGCTACAAAAAGCACCAACGGAGCAACACATAATTGCAATAATATCAAAAACTTATGACAAATTCCTAGAAATTAACTCACAGATCTCCGCAATTAATCGAAAGAATAACTGAGTATTTGCAAGATGCATGCCACGACTCCATTCTGATACAGACTACCACCAAACATTGAGGACAGCAACTTGGAATTTTAAGATGAGTTGGACACCAACTCAAATTGGAAAACATTAAATAACCTACGCTTTTGAGTGAGTTCTCTCTATCAGTTTCTGAAAATAAAAGGAGAAATAGCCTCAATTTTTAATGAAAAAAAACTTAAAACCTGACAGCAATATTAAAATCAACACATAAATCTTTAAACAAAATATGGAAACATGATTCAGAGCTTCAACCGCGTGGACGGAAATCTTTCTCATTTTTTTTACACTTACCACGCACAGCATTACCCAAAAACTGCTTATAGAAAAGAATGGAATAACCATAAGAAACCTCACTCTGATATAAGGTAAAAGGAGAAATCATCAGCATGCCTCATAAATCACTGAACTTCAGACTAAGATATTCTTTTTTGATAGGTATCCAGAATATTACTTCATCATGTAATAGAAGATCGTCTGAGGAGAATACATGTAACACATGGACAAATGACTTTTGGCAAGAAAGACTACTCACTCTTCAACACCAGGTCTTAAAGGTAAAGATTTTGACAAGACCAGTTCATCCAATGCAATTTTCTGCAAGCAATGAACCCATTGTTCAGATTATCAATTCAACGAAGATCAAGTGAGCAATATTATGTTAAGTTAAAAAATATCAAAGTTCCAATAAAGTAAAAAATAAAGGAGCTGGAAAACAACAGCTATCACACTGGATATAACAGTTAGTACAAGTGAGAAAACACAATAGCAAATTGATTTGAGTAAAAGCGGAAACTATTAAACCACTGCAAAAGAAAACAAAAGAAAGGCACAGGAAACAAGAACTATCAGATTGGATATAACAGTCCGTATATATACATGAAAACAAAAATGCAATTTGATTTTAGTCAATGGAGCAGAGCTAAGCGTGTCAACAGCTCTATGAAATTACCTTATCCGGAATGTTATTTTGGGTTCTTATTCCGATAATAGGCCTACTGTCTTGTGTTTGACTTACATTCACTTTGAAGCTCTATGTTAGCCCGTTATAACTAGAGATGTGGGGCAGGAGCTGCAGGACTAGAGTTTGCAGATAACATGTTGGCAGCTATGTATTAGTATCTACTGATATTCTAAATATACCTAACAAGGGGCACGAGATTTTATCACCATATGTTAAAAAGCCTATTAAACNTACTTGAAAGGCTTTTTAGAATTTATACAAGAACACATCTATGAACTTTTCCATGTGAGCTTACTCTGTTAAAAAACAAGACCAACATCCTTTCTTCATCACCCATGCTCTTCCTGGAGAAAGCAAGTACCATATGTTTATGTCAATGCTCATTTAGTCAGAAGGGCAATCTAAGATATCGTGGACTGAGATCAAATATGAAACTAAGAAGGTTACAAATTCCGGAAAAGTTAGAATTTATTTAAGAGAAAAAATCAACTATGTAATAATACTCTTATTCAGAAATGATATATGCATGCCTCAGCTAAATCACGAAATCACCTGGATAACACACCTTACAAGATCCTGATAAACTGGCTGGCTCCAATTTGCACAGTCCAATCCAAGCTTCCGGAATGCTGACATTAGTAGAAGAAAAAAGACATTTGGATTATCCAAGGTAGACTTGTTTTCATTTGTTATACATTAGCTTGTGCACTATACTGGTGCATTCAGTCATTAAGATTGACTTCCTTAATCATCAAGAAAAGAAGGTCATATCAGAAAAAACTTTCCCCTTAAGACATCTAGAATTTATTTGATAAAATAACAAGGAAATCTTCCCAACCTGCATTGAAGGCTTGACAGTTGCCCAAGCGATACACATCCATTAAAACCCTAAACAAATAAAAGTTGTCAAGGAAAGAAAGTAAACGGAAATAGTTACCAGTAGAAGATGAAAAGCAGAAAATGTTGCTGAAAATAAAATACGAAGAAATAAGCAGACAAAAACCTTGAACATAATACCTCTGGGATTTGGAAACTCTAAAACTGAACCTTCTACAATTCTGGTTCCCC